TTTTTTGATAATTCATTTTCTGGGTTGCTTCTTCTTGACATGTTAATGTATTTAATTATTAATTTTTCTTTAATAATTAATTATAACTAAGATTTTTCGTTTAATAATTTGAAGTTCAATGTATAAAGATACATTGCATTATATTAAATTTGTCTATATGAATATTTTTTTTTACTTTGAAATTTATTGTTAAAAAATGAAAAGAAAAAGTAATCTTGTAAAATGTAATTATAGATATTTTGACTTGGACCCGACTCTCCTTAAAAGTAATTAATTCTAATAATTAATTTTGCGGACTTGTTTCTTTAGTAAATTAATTATAATTTATATCTGAACCCAGGTTATGTAAGGATTAATTTCTTAAACAAGTTACCTAAAAATTGATATCTTTTTGTACATGTAATAATTACTCGAGATAAGTTATTATGAAAGGCAAAAAAAGGAATAAACAAATTTCATTAATCAATTATGTTGTACGTGGTAAAATTTGCAAAACTCATAATACCTTAATTTTTTGTTTGGATTAATTTTTTTTTTTTTTTATTTTTTAGATTTTGAAAATTTAGAATTTAGTATTATTATTATTATTATTATTAAAAGAGAAAAAAAAATTTTAAAAAGGCAGAGACAAGAAATGGAAAAAGAACCCAAAAACCAAAAAAAAAAAAGAAAAAAGAAAGTGAAGAGAAGAAATTAAAAAAGAGAAAAAAAAAAAGGAAAAAGAAAAGAGATTCAATTTTCATATTAGGCCCCTCCTTTTAAAATCTAACTCTCATCATATATTAGTCATACTACAACTCCAATCTCTCACAAACTCAAATGAAACATAGATAGAATATCAAATCAAATTCCAAAAATGGGACAAGACAAATGGTTGGGAGTCCCAATGTAACAGCCCCGAAAATTTAAAATGAAATGTATATTAAAAATATCAAATGCGGAAGCGAAGTCAAAATTTGAATAACATCCCTTACACTAAAACTAAAAACGTGCTCACAAAATATAAAAGATCAAACCACCTAAAGGAGAAACTTGAAAGTAAAAGCTACGAATATGACTATGGAGTCTTTAGGCGCCCCCTTCGTCGTCCTCCTGCGGAACCGGCTTGGGAACAATGTCCTCTTGATCTGAAATGATTAAATAAGGAATGAGCTACACTAGCCCAGTAAAGACATCACGATATCTCACCGTCACGGAGGTAAAGGTGGGTAGAAAACACAAAAAGACCAATGGAGCATAATTTATAACAAATCCTTTTATTGATAATAAAACCTTTACCATTCATTTACCTCGGTGAAATTCATAAAA